ATAGACCGTTAATTCTCTACTTGACAGTCTTTGAAAATTCGATGGGATGTGTACTGGGACAGCATGATGAATCTGGAAGAAAAGAAAAAGCCATTTATTATCTGAGTAAGAAATTTACTGATTGTGAAATTCGATATCCACCGATACAAAAATTATGTTGTGCCTTGGTGTGGGCTACTCGAAGACTCAGACAATACATGTTATATCATACTACTTGGTTGATATCCAAACTTGATCCTTTGAAATTATTAATGGAATAACCAACTTTGACAGGTAGAATGGCTAGATGGAAGATGTTATTATCTGAGTTTGATATTGTATATGTCAACCAAAAAGAGATAAAAGGAAGTGTCATAGCTGATTTTCTGGCCAGTCGTGTATCGGATGATTATCAGCCTTTGAATTTTAATTTTCCATATGAAGATTTGTTGTGCATATCCATGAATGAAGAAGTCGGAACAAATGATGAATCTTGGAAGCTTTACTTTGATGGAGCATCCAATGCCTTAGGACGAGGAATCGGGGCAGTGTTAATTTCTCCAGAAAATATTTATTATCCCTTTACAAGCAGACTGGAGTTCTTTTGCACCAATAACATGGCGGAATATGAAGCTTGTGTCATGGGATTGAAAGCAGCCATAGAAAGAAAAATTAAATGTCTCAAGATATATGGGGATTCATCGTTAGTGGTGTATCAATTACGAGGTGAATGGGAAACAAAAGATCCCAAATTGTTGGAATACCGAAATTTTACCCTCGAATTAGTGAAAGAATTTGAGAGAGTCACCTTCAATTATCTCCCTCGAGAAGAAAATCAAATGGCAGATGCTTTGGCTACATTAGCTGCTATGTTTCAGGCAACTAAGAAAGTTGATATGATGCCAATTAAAATGCAAGTATATGAAATTCCTGCACATTGTTATAGTGTGGAAGAAGAGGTAGATGGTAAACCATGGTATTATGATATCCTGCAATATATCAAAAATCAAAGTTATCCACAAAATGCTTCTGAAATTGATAAAAGAACCTTGAGAAGAATGGTTGCTGGATATTTTCTTAATGGCGAGACTATGTATAGAAGAAGCAATGATCAAATGCTATTGAGATGTTTAAATACCAACGAAGCCAGAAGCATCATTGAGGAAGTACACAGTGGAATATGTGGAACTCATGCAAATGGTATTTCCATGGCTAGACAAATAATGAGATATGGATATTATTGGGCTACCATGCACACAGATTGCATTGATTATGCAAGAAAATGCCATAAATGCCAGATATATGCAGATAAGATTCATGTACCCCCATCTCCTTTACATGTAATGACAGCACCCTGGCCATTTTCTATGTGGGGAATAGACGTCATTGGGGAAAATCAAACCAAAAGCATCGAATGGACATTGTTTCATCCTTGTGGTAATTGATTATTTTACCAAGTGGGTTGAAGCTGCTTCATATGCCAATATTAAGAGGTCCACAGTCTGTAAATTCATAAATAAAGAAATAATTTACCGGTATGGCCTACCAGAAAGGATCATTACAGATAATGCTTTGAACCTGAACAACAAAATGATGACCGAACTTTGTGCACAGTTTAAGATTAAACATGCAAACTCAGTGGCATATCGTCCAAAGATGAATGGGGCAGTTGAAGCAGCAAATAAGAACATCAAGAGAATCATTACAAAGACCACTGAAACTTACAAAGATTGGCACGAGAAGTTACCTTTTGCTTTATATGCATACCAAACTACTGTTCGAACATTTACTGGGGCAACGCCTTTTTTTTTAGTCTATGGAATGGAAGCAGTCTTACCAATTGAAGTCGAGATTCTATCACTTCGAATTTTGAGAGAAGTAAAATTAGATGAATCTGAATGGATCCAAGCTCGATTTGATCAATTGAACCTTATTGAGGAGAAAAGATTGAAAGCTATTTGCCATGGACAGATGTATCAAAAACGGATGATGAAGTCTCATGACAAGAAAGTACATCCAAGATAATTCCAAGAGGGTGATCTAGTACTAAAAAAGATCTTGCCTATACATAAATATTTCCGTGGGAAATGGATGCCTAATTGGGAAGGGCCATACGTTGTAAAAAAGGCCTTTTCCGGAGGAGCATTGATCTTGGCAGAAATGGATGGAAAAATTATGAGAAACCTAATAAACTCAGATTTTATCAAGAAATATTATGCTTGAAGAAAAAATGAAATAAAAAAAAGAAAAAAAAGAGAAAAAGAAAAAAAGAAAAAAAGAGAAGAAAATAAAAAAAGAGGGTCAAGATGAAAACCCGTAAAGGGCATCTTGTAACCAAAGGAAGGATTTGAGTTGAAAACCTAAAAGGGCGGCTCAAATGCATGTTGATATTAGGCATCTGGCAATTGAACCCTCTTAAGATTTGGATAGTTTGGGAGGAACTTCACATCTACAAGCATTCTGACAACGTTTGAGATCTTTCAGACAAAAGCTTACATCAGTACTATAAATTATATCAATTTGATTAATTTAGAAATACTTATGCTAATAATTTGTTGATTAATTTGAATTTTTATCATTCCTATGCTTGCCATAATTTTGAATACAATTCTATTTATTAATAAATTCTAAGTTTATTTTCTCTAAATTCAATTTATTTGAGATTCAATTTATTTTCGAAAATTCAATTTATTCTTTTATTTTGTAAATGGATTAACATAATTTTGAAATAAGTTAAAGATTTCTGAATATCACTTTATGTTAATACTTTTAAGGGCATGGAATACAAAGTAAGTCTTATCAACTTTTTCAATCATTGTTGAAAAGCAAACAAATTTTTACCATTATAGAGTTATTTGGAAGAGGAACAAGAAGAAATCTGTTCTCAATTGGCATATTATGAATATAGCCTTTTTCCATATAGCAGTACAAAAATGCTTCGAATCTACAAATTCTAGCTCTACATCATATAAGTACTGTGATGTTTTGGTCCAAATACCAACTGAAGCAACCACCATGTTATCGTGGTAAAAATAAGGAGGCCCAATAGCATCTTCTGGAAGTGTTCTTTGAGTTATCTGATCTGGTTCAGTAAGAATTCCAAAACCAATCATTGAATTAGGAAGATGAACTGCATGATCAACTTCATCAAGAAGCTTTTTTCCAAGCTACATATGCTTCTTCTTTTTTAAGAAAATCATAGCCCAAGTTTTGCCTTTTCTTGTAATTGGGATCATTGCATAATGGCTCCCTATCATTTATCGAAAAAAGTGCGTCAACAATCTTAGTCATTTGAGCAACACATATAAAATCTGTAAACTCTGCAATTGATGAATCAAGACCACATCTCTATGACTATTGAAGACTTAGCATTTGAGTATCCTATTTTCGTCAAGTATAAAATTTTAATTTCCTCATCAGAATCAGAATTTAGGATTTCCTCGGTATCAGAAGAACTATCAATATATGTGAAATCATCCTGAAAGATCGCTTCATAGTCAGATGGTTAGTTATCAGAATCAACATGTTGCATGAGTGCGGGCTTTTTAAGAGCCTATACTATTGAGTTTTATTCTCAAGTGGTTTTATGACATCATGCAAAAATTCAGGCATATCTACATCTACACTTTTCAAATATGATAGATTCTCCATTCGAAGAGGAAAGATTTATTGGATTTCTACACAATTGAAGAAAGACCGAGTTCACCAATTTGAAATCTAATAAAAATGAACTTAATATTCATGCATCATATTTGCAAAAATAGGTGCATTTCCATTCATTTTATCCATGTTAAATGTTGACAGGAATTTCAAAGATTTTAGCAAAGATTCAAATCCATCACAATGGATTAACTTTTCCAGAGAAAGTTCATAATGAGAAGAACTCATCTGAAGAAGGAAGAAGAAATTCATAATGAGAAGAATTTGTTCAACCTTTTGCTCAAATCCATCACTTGATGGATCAGCCTTTTCCAGAGAAAGTTTATAATGAGAAGAACTCATCTGAAGAAGGAAGAAGAAATTAATAATGAGAAGAATTTGTTCAACCTTTTGCTCAAATCCATCACTTGATGGATCAGCTTTTTCCAGTTAAAGTTCATAATGAGAAGAACTTATCTGAAGAAGGAATAAGAAATTCATAATGAGAAGAATTTGATCAACCTTTTGCTCAAATCCATCACTTGATGGATCAGCTTTTTCCAGAGAAAGTTCATAATGAGAAGAACTCATCTGAAGAAGAAAGAAGAAGTTCATAATGAGAAGAACTTATTCAACTTTTTTAAATTCATCAGCAATACCAGTTAGAGTTCATAATGATAAGAACTCATCTGAAGAAGAAAGAAGAAATTCATAATGAGAAGAATTTGCTCAACCTTTTGCTTAAATTCATCACTTAATGGATCAACTTTTCCAAAGAAAGTTCATAATGAAGAAGGAAGAAGAAGTTCATAATGAGAAGAGCTTGTTCGGCCTTTTGCATGACTCTATCACAGAAAGAGATATATCATCATCAACATTTCCAGAAGGAATTCATAATGAGAAGAATTCATCTGAAGAAGAAGAAGTTCACAATGACAAGAGCTTATTCAACCTTTGCTAGATTACATCACAAAAGGAGATAAACTGTCATCCCCATTGGAAAAGTCCATAATAAGAAGAACTAATCCCAAAGAAGAATTTTTTCAACATTTCCATTATAATCAAGTGAAGTTAAATGGATAAAAAAATTTATTATCTTTTCGTCTTTGCCCTATTCTTGTTAACACAAGAATGAGCAAAGAGGGGCAACTGAAGATACTAATTTTTTTTACCCATTTATTTTTAATATTATTATTAATATATTATTATAATTTTATTTATTATTATATATTATTATTAAATAATTACAAATGACATTGCAGGCCCAACAGACTGGCCCAAACCTAATAGAAACCCTAAAAACCTATTTAGGGTTTGATATCATCTTTTTCCAGCCGCCTCTCTCTTTCCACCATTGGATCTGATTTGATCCAAAAGCCCAAATGGCTCCAGACAAAACCCTAGGGTATCATCACCCTAGGGCCACGCGGCCGTCGTTGCTTTTGCCGCCAGTTCACTCCGTTTCAGCTGCTTCCATGACGTCCACCAAAGGCTTCCAGAAGAGCCCTTCCAGCCGCACACGTCGCTCTATAGTGAGTCACCACTGGAAATCCGGTGACTCACTAAACAACCACCTTATTAACTGGTCCGAGAGCCACACCGTCGATGGCTATAAAAGCCATCGACCACCTGCAAACAAAGGGACACGACAGCAACCCAAAAGAAAAATAGAAAGTAAAAAAAAAGAGAGAGAAGAGAAGATACAGAGAGCAACTCAGTAACCATAATAGCAAGGAAAATACGAGGGATACTTACCAACAAAGCCCCACCGTCGCCGGAGTTCACACGAGCCTCCAAACATCACCAAAGGCCTACGAAAACCCGAAGGTATTTTCGTAGATTTGCTCCGATCGGGAGCTTTTTAAGAGAAACGGTCATCGGAACCGTCAATAGGACGATCCGATCTATATTTTGGTGTAAATTTTTTTTTCGGCCACCGCATGCGGTGGCCGGTGGCGGGGTCAACACCGACGAACGGCTATCGACCGGTGCCTCTTTTCTCTGTTTTAGAGAGAAGCGAGAGAGTTTTATAACTCTCTCATTTAGAGAGAGAAGAGAGAAAAGAAGAAATGAGAGAATGGCCCAACCATATTCGGGAATAAATACCCCTTTCCAAACGACGCCGTTTTGGGAGGGGTATATCTGTAATTTCGCGCATGGTCAAACCCTTTCCGTAACCATCTGAGTTTTGTAATTATTCATTTTAGTCACTGAAACTAACTTCTGAACGTTTTAATTCTGTCTTCGAATTTTATTTTATTATGTTTTAGTCCTTACCAGTATTTTATATGTATATTAAGGTAAATACCCATTTTAGTCCCTCATAGTTTAATTAATATTTATCTTAATCACCTATTAATTAATTAGTTAAATTACACTATTAGTAATTATATTTTTATAATAATTCAAATATGCCCTTTAATTTTGATATTTTACTTTTAGTCACCAATATTTTGTTCTTTTCATTTTGACCCTGATTTTTTTTATATTTTGAAATAATATTATTGCTTTTTAATCATTATTTATTTATTATTTATTTATTACTTTTATATTATTAGTATCATATTAGTCACCAAAATATATAATTTTTATAATAATCTTTATTTATTTTCAATATCAGAGAAAATGGCAGTCTTAATACAACTGGATGTCCTATTCTGGTATTTTAAATAATTAAATATTATAAAAATTATAATTTAGTTTTATTTAAATTATTTTAGGAAAAATTATTACATATTTTAATATTTATTTATCAATATCAAAAGAAAGAAATGTCTTAAAGCACCTAGAAGCCCTTTTCTGATATGTTATTATATATATATATATTCTTTCAATTATATTAATAAATTTGAAATAACAGAATTATAAATTAAATTAAATATATCTTTGAATTTTTAATAATAGAGACAATTTATAATTAAAAAGTATCAATTTTGGGCGTTGTAGGGGTGCTAATCCTTCCCTAAACGTAACCGACCACGAATCCCTTTTTATTATTAAAAAGAACAAATTTTTGATTAAAACGTATATCAGTTTATCTTTTAATCGATGTTTTCTTTAAAACTCTTTTAAAGGATGATTTTTAGGTATTCGACCTACCTGACCCAAAAGGCCGATGGTGACTCCCAAATTATTTTAAAAACCATTTATTCACATCACTTTTCCAGCAAAGTAAAAAATTCGTGCCTGGACGAAAACCGGTTTCGACACATACTATGTATTCTTTTTCAAAAGAAGCATCAACTGTGGAAATTTTATTATGAGTTTACCATTATACTAGCGTAAATTACTCTAATTTTAAATCAAACACCACTATGTTCCATCCTCCCGTTAAAAAGAATATCTGTTTAGAAAAATTTAAACTATGTCAACATATATATATATATATATTGCAGCTAGAGCTCTTTAACTATAAAGGGAGAACAATATTTTCTTTTATTATCGAGTCCACTCAATTTATTATTTAATCTCTATTTTTTTAGATTTTTTAAATTAAATCTATATATTTTAGGAAATAAATGGTACTATTTTTTGGTGTAATTTTTTTAACAACTTTAAGCGTTGATTGACGTGTGAACTTAATATTAATTTTAATTGAAATAAACAAATGGATTAAAATAACAATTAAAACACTTATTTTCAATTAATATTAAATTTTAAGGCATCTTGAAATGTTTTAATTGGCTGATGATAACTTACGGTCGACTACTGAAGTATGCGCAAGTAGAAAATCATATATGCGCTAGTAGAAAATCATGCAAGGGTCATATAATTTTTTTTTTACTTTGGATGAATTTTGAAGAATTTATTCACCTTATATGTTTTTGAATAAAATTAGGTGTAATATTCCTAATTTTTCTATGTCAAGATTTGATTGACGACAACACCAGATTTGACAAAAATTATATTTTTAACTGTTAAAATACTCGATAAAATATTTTTAATTGACTTTGATGTAATGTGTTAGAAGGTGTCAAAATCCGGAACAAAAGAAGAAATTTACGAAAATATGGATCACATTGATACTTTTGCAGCGCTAAGGCCCTTAATGGACCATTTCTCTAGAAGAAATTTACAAAATATGGATTACATTGATACTTTGGCAGAGCTAAGGTCCTTAATAGACTATTTCACCGGTTGAGATGATAGTGTGAAATTGATGACTCATTTTTTTCTACTTAATCACATACACCTAGCTACAGTTAACCACTATAACTTAATAATATCGGACCACACAATTTTATTAATTTAAAGAAGTATTAATTATTTGATAAATTCATAATTTATTAATTTAAAGAGAATTTTTTAGATTCAACGAAGCTACATTATATTTCATGAATAAAACATATATTATATTGATTAATTGAATGATGTTAATGTACAATATGGCTAATTAAATATGATACATACCCGTAAAAAAGTTTATTATAGTACATAGTACTAAAACCAGTCACTATATAAACAATATCAAACATTCTTAGTTAGTCAATCAAAATCAATTAACCATGACATATCAAATACATAAAGTACTATGTGAATATAAGAGAGATCACCCCACGTGCACTAAAAAATATTTTCAACAGTGGATTGATGGAAATTTTCATTTGAAAGTTAGTCAATGTACAATATCAAACACACTCAAGCGATCATTTGAGTACCTTTCAGCTAACATAGAAAAAAGAGGTGATACCAAGCGATAGGGGCGTTCATGGACGGTTAACCGTACAATATAGCCTAAATGATCAGTTAACCAATATAACGGTTATGAGATTTTTCTAACCGTAACTTAACCATTTAGAAACGATTAACCGCTATCCGTTATTAAAGGTTCAATTATAGATTAACTGTAGGTTAGCCTATTACAATTACTTGTAATTTTTTTTTCATATTTCATACTACAAAAAATATAATACATAACATATATTTACAACAATCTAAGTGAATAAAATAAAAAAGTGTGGCAATTAACACATACTTACACCAGTGTAAGTGACTAAAATAAAAAAGTGTACCACTTAGCTCAAACTTACACCACTGTAAGTATGTACATCTCCCAATATATTGATATCGAACAATAAACACAAAATTATATTGGTGTGAGTATGTTTGATGAGTGTTCCAAATTAACACTATTTACTTGTTAATTTTCCTGTGTTAGCAATTTATTACTATTGATTTGGTTATGTTATGCTTATTTTTGTGCATAGATTTATTTTTCAGAACCAAAAGTAAAAGGGCGATATCTCCATATTTTTTTTATTATCTGATCGCGGTCGAGGACATGGGCACGATGCGATCTGACGTGACAGATTCTAGAAGGTCCAATCAGCATTGGGAATATTATGTAAGTAGCCTAGTAAGCACAATCCGATGAGATCTTTTAGGAAATCAAGTTTTAAGTTTGAATTCAAAGCATTTGAAATATCTTTAGGATTATTTTGCGTTTGAAATTATTTGCTAGTTTAGGGATTTAGAAACCTATATATACATCCCTTAGGGTATGGCTTGATATCTTGAATTTAATTTTAATTTATTTTCATTTTTATAAAAGGTTTCATTTTATTTCATTGCTTTCTTTACTTACGTTTTTACTATTTTCACAAAAATATGCTAAGTATGATTTCTATCATGCTTAGCTAATTTTCTCATTTAGCCGAGAGATAGTGATGTCCCAATTCCAAGTGTGAGAATTGAAAAGCACTTAATACCCTTCGAGTTACATTATCGGTTTTCTTTAAACTAGGATTGGTAATCAACCTTTCCTTTAAAAAAGTCAAAACACTTTCATATCAAAAAGTAGAAGTTGGTCTAGATGTTGTTCTAATTTATAGTTGGGAGGAAGGATCGGCCTGTGGCATATTTGACTTCCTGTGAACACACTTAGGGGCGGTCCGCTAAGGGAAATTGAGATCATATTCGATTATCATTGAGACAACATAATTCAAGTTGGGCTTTTCCTAAACTTATTCTTATTTGTTCTAGTGACAATAGTTGCCGTTAGTCCATTCAAGGACCGAATTTTGAAGGTTAACTTGGAAAGATTGGTTTACCGAAGAGAAAAGCAAGTTACAAGGGTTGTGCCTTGTAGGCTGTAAATGACATGAATCTCGAAGTATATCCATTTCGATGATCAAAGCGAATTGAGTCAAAGCTAAACTTAAGGCTATTTTCTCTATAATTGTTTTCATCATTTTATTTTAATTCTTTTGTTACTTTTATTGATTTTATTTAATTTATATTCCACCAAACCCCTTGTTTATTTTTCTTTTGTTATAGTTTACCTGGTTCAAAATCAACAAATCTCAATATAAGGAATTTCTAAGTCCCTGCAGATCGACCATTTTCTTCTCTTTACTATTCTTATTCCTATTTACTTTATTTATTTTGAGAAAAGGAATTTATTTGAAAGTTCACGATGCTTCTCAAATTGGCGTCGTTGTCAGGTACTTCGGCAAGTTACTATTTTGTTTTTGTTTTTTATTTTATGATTAGACGAAACCTGGGAGATTTGTTGTCAGGTACTTCGGCAAGTTACTATTTTGTTTTTGTTTTTTATTTTATGATTAGACGAAACCTGGGAGATTT